CCATTTTTATTTACAGTCTCTGGGTCGATTACAGATATATCTCTTTTCAAACATTCAACACTGTTCAAATATTGACAGAATAGTGTGTTCATGTAAGGCCTAATTGCTCCCAGTAAAAAAAGGTGATTGCTAAAAAAAGAGGGTTTCAGGGTTATTTTTTATTTTGTTCCAGATCCTCTGAAGCCTCATTTAAAACAACAGCTTGTCCCTGTATCCAAAGTTCATGACCAGTCCATCTGTATTCTAGATTTGAAATGGACTTGTCTCTCAGTGACTGATCACTACATCATCCTTTGTATGCATTCTTAATCAAATAAGCTGCTCTTGCTTTCTTAACTTGGACAAGCTTACTTCAGATAAGCCTGTCGTTTTAAGCCACTTCAGAGGGGGAATCAGTCCCTGGGGGTGATGAGCATTGACTCTGCGAGCCCGAGATGCAAGCTTTGGGCTGCCATGTTATTGTCTGTGGCTTGGCCTGAGGCTCCAGAGAGAATCACTCCCTCTAATGGAAAACTATTGTCTGCCGCTAAGGACATATGACTGTGCGCACTGCGGATCAGCCTATCTGGACTTATGCACAAGACAGAATGAAGCTCTCTATCCGATAGAAAGCTATTTTGGAATTGTAATATCCACTGAAGTCTACTCTGATTAAGCAATACATCTGGAATGGAGTTGCTTTTATGTGGCTGAGTGGTGTTTTCAAGCACTATGGTAATGCATAAAGAAAACCTAGAAGCAGCATAAAAGAGGAAAACTTAGCTACCATTTATAGCGTACTGCCCCATATTTTAACTGCAGCAACAGGCCTAAACATTCAAAACTGTCATGACGATGCAACAATAAGGCACTTGGTAAATTATTTATTCATTGTAGTGGATTTGATATAGGTTAATGAGCACAACAATGTGGGTTTTAGTAGTGTCTTCTCTGTGAGAAATACAATGTTTTCCCCTCAGCATAACCAATTATGTATTCACTCATCTTGCTTGGTAGGCGACAGTTAATGTCTAATGTAAGAGGTAGACACATCCCCTCTAACGAGTCAGAATCAGAGGAGACGTGGGGCAGGCTCACACTCGGTTCACCGCACTCCTGGGTAGATGTAAAATGTATACAGCACCAGTGAAGCTCTGAAATTAATATTCTCCAACAGATTATCCCAGAGGATGAGGAACTCCATTTGCCTCAGGGGTTTCCTCTTTCCCCTCCCTTTCACTGGAAAATCACGAGGTGCGATATACGCATCACTTCGCCCATTCCCTTACCCCCAACCCACCCGTCTTCTCGACTTCTCAACAGGTCAGTCCACATATCGTCCCCCACAGGATTCACCTGCAGTCTGGACTGTGAGAGTTTGAAAGTCCACCCTTTGGCCAGGGTGCAGGTTGTTTTCATGACTCTGGATGATGGCCTTTTTTGGGATTCACTTCGACATTGTGCAGGCTTGAATGTTTGGAGGGAAGCTTGTGTGTGGTTTGTCAAGTCTATCAGGAAAGGAAGGAAAAGAGAAAAAAGAACAATATGAGCTTCAGCAGGAATAAAAAGAGAGATTTTCCCCCCTAACTGTCCTTTGTCACAATGTTTTAACTACACTTCAATTTTTTTCTGGACTAACGCAATCAGGCATTTCATATCTCCACTTAATTCAAACTCAGTGTCATTCTTAAACTGCAGCAACAAGGGCCACATAGTGGTGCAGATGACACAGAGTGCTCTTATACACTAATTGCAGAGGTACACAGTGAGGCAGAGAGTCCAGCGGGACAGGAATCCCCTTGAGGGGATTGTGGGAGGGTATAAGAGGAGAGCTGAAGGTCGACGCTCCTTTACTGCTGAAGCTAAAGGATTTCACAACTACCAGAAAAATATTTTCCACGTTAAATATCTGTCATGAGAACATCAAGTTGCCTCAAAGTCACATTAATATTTGATGTGTCAAGATAACGCTGTGTCCTCTGTAGAATATTTCATTTTGTACTTTCTTTTTAAACTGATATCCAGACAGGTTTAAACCATGGTTTGAGAATTTCCCCTAAGGGTCACCCCTTCATCTGGGAGGATTTCTGTTGTTAGATTGCTGCTTAAACTGCATGGTTCAGATCAGCACATGTAGTCACATGGTCACTTTTCGTCACTTTTGCTTTTTTTGTCGTAAAGAAATACAGCGACCTTAACAGCAGCAGGTATGGTATGTATAAAACCAAAGCATTAAGTAAAAGATGTACACCATACTGACATTTAAAGTATCCCAAAAACAGAGAAGAAAAAATATGCAGAAATTAGTTCGTAGTCTAAATTTTCAGTCCCATCTGAGTGATGCTGTTCTTGTACTAAAAGGCGACTGTGTACAGACTGCATAGGTATAACACGTTTAAGGCACATTTAGTATTGAGTGAATAAAATAAAATATGGACAAAAATATTAAAAATAAGACTAAAATACAAAGTCCCAATGGATTATATTAAAGGTACAGTGTGGAAAATTTTGTGATATCTAGTGTTGAAGTTGCATGTTGCAGCTGAACACCCCTCGCCTCACCCTCCTCTTCCAAACATGAAAAAGAACCTGTGGTAGCTTCAGTTGTCATAAAAACTCAAAAGGTGTTTAGTTTGTCCAGTCTGGACTAATGTAAAAAAACATGGCGGACTCCGTAGAGAGGGTCCCCTCGATGTAAATATAAAGTATTTAAATATAAAGGGTCTTTTCTGGGGTAAAGAAAACTAGAATTCATACAATTTAGATGAAACGAACTAGTGAAAACATCATGAGGATTATTCTACATTAAATGTCTGCCAATAGTTCCCTTTCACCTAAATCTTACACACTGGACCTTTAAGTATTCATCTATGAATTTATTTATATCTCTTTATAAATGAGGTGTTCATATGAATCTGTTTCTCTATAAGGGTATTAAACAATTCCTGATCATTTGGAGGTTCACTCTTCCTTCAATGTCTCAAAAGAACCCACTTAGCAGTCGTTATGCCATTTGATCACACATCTTTAAATAATTGAATGAACAGTTAAATTGAGATTTTCTGTCGATGTTGTGAAACACTCAACCTTAAAGCTCAAACTATTTCTGACTCTCATCAACCCTTAAAAGGTTCTCATCGCATTTACTTGTATAAAATAAACCGACACCAGAGACATAACATGCATCTGTACCAATTTGACATTATTGCCCAATCATACCTTCGATTTGGTGGATCACATTCAGATACATCAGAGCCCTTACTCCTTTAGTAATTGAGAGCACCCTTAAATTATTTTTATTTTTCTGCAGACCTCTTGGAAGTTTTCAGAAAATCCCCAGGGTTTTCCATATCCAACCTTCAAGCGTTTAATATTTGTCACCCTTATTCGACCCCATATATTTTGTATATCCATATATTTACATCTATCCCCACATTCTAGTTTAATCCTTTAACTGCATCAGTAGAGATCAATACACAAGGACGTGCTCTTTTAACAACTAGAATAACACTGTGCACTTCTAAGATGCATTTGAGGAATCCCTGTGGGTCCCTTTTACCTTGAAGCTTATGACCCTTATCTGACCCCATGGGTTCACTATATCACTGTCGTCATGCAGGAGGTCATCACAGATATAACAAGCTTTTAATAATTGAGAGGTAAATAATTTAAACTATTTTAAAATAATTTTTTTTCTCTAAGAACCTTTTCATGAACCCTAGAAGCTCAAGATATTTGTGACCCTCACTTGATCCTGTAACTTTATTGTATTTCAGCCTTGCTATGTAAAACAGCATCATAATAAATAAACAACATACCTTTTGCAACGGTGAGCTCGTTGGATAGATGGTCTGGTGTAGCTGGGGTATCAACCTAAAAAAGAATATAAAGAACACTATGACCATGTAGGTTCACAACATAGACATTTATCTATTCATATGAGAAGACATCATAATATTATATTATGTTCAATTATTGTAACAGAGGACATAGTTTATCAATGTCTTAGAATAAAGTTATTTCACTACACAGTTTGCTGAAATATTACTGCTGTTTATCAAACTTATTTTTTTTTTTACAGTGTTTTGTTCCAGATGTCTAATTATTCCTAGCTTTGTGTCTACATTATGGACTTAACAGAGACAGGAAAACATGTTACATTTAAGTTTAGAGAGGGTTTATGAGCAACTACGTTAGGGGAGAGATTAAACTGGGTCAGGTTGTTTACCTTGTGGGACGGAGGTCTTTTTAAACAGCTACTGCCATCCTCTCTCTGCGGAGGTCAGCTGGGGGTCATTTAGAGTCTCTTTAATGGACGGGGCAAAGGCAGGCTGTTTAAGCGACTGAGAGAGGGTCACATGACCGGAGGAGAACAGAAAGAGCAGAACAAGAAGAGAGAGCAATCCCGTCCCACCCTCGAACCCAACTCCACCACCTCCCTCGCGCTGCGCCAAACCAAACAAGGCCTAGAGGAGGTCAAGGAGGTTTTTGGGTGCGGCGCTATGAGCCGTCTGTCGGGGTAAACACTCAGGAAAGTTAATGCGTGTTTACTGATGATGCTCGACGTGATCAGCGTTTGCCTCACATTGAATTATATGAACAAACACAGTAGATAGAGTTTCAAGAGCGCCGATGTCGCTATCGCTAAATCCCCTAAATCTCGGTCGGAGAGATTTCCCACAAAATGCATCACATGGCGTTCAAATACAAATAGGGAAAGCATTCTTATCAGATTACCAAGGTCAGCGACAAGGTCACAAACAGCCATTTGCTGTTTGCACTGTTTAGTAGTAGGATTTTTGGTAATCGTCCGACACACATTGGATTTCATGTCAGAACATATGATGTTTTATTTTGTTTCTCACGCAGTTAAAATAATATCCGAGAGGCTTCCAAACTTGTCTGGCTTAATTTTCATTTGGGTTTTGTTAGTTTATATTATGAGTCATTTTATGAGTCTGTAATTATTCTCTCAAACACCAGTGTTTTCTTTCAAAATGTTTATTCAGCATCAACAAAGAGGAAAATATTAAAGGGCTTACATAAGCTCAAAATCAGTATATTTAAACAAATCTCTACATGGAGATGATTACCAACTCACCAGCATGTGATTTAGTATCTCAAAATTTATCGTTTTGCCTACAAAGTCAGAAAAAGGATGTTGTTTTAAATCAAAGAAATGACATCAAAATCCTTATTTAGAGCATCTAAAAAAATCACAAAAATCAAAAAAGCTCCTGGACTGTTTTGCAGCTCTGGTTGACGGGTGTACATAATGTATGAGCAGCTATTTATAGATGTATTAAAGTGGATGTTTGGGGGCATAATCATGAACACAACTACACAGGCTTTTCAGAATAAAACAGCCGACAATATCCACATTTGCACACCATGCTTTTATAAGCCCTTTAACACTAAAGAACTATTATTTTACAAAAAGGAGGGAACAGCAATACAATATGTATACAGTATGTATGACTTTTCTCTTTTTCAGTTTGTAAATGCTCAATTTACAAGGGACACAATTCCACCAATTACCCTTTAGAAAGAAATATCTACTGTACTGCACTTTCCTAGAACTAAGCTACTACATTTTAAAGTGATCAACCACGCAGTTCAAGGTTTAAAGAATAGGGGGCGATAAATTAAGTAGCGCCGGCAGCTGTGTAGAAACATTGTATCAAACCGCTTGTAGTGATTTACTAATCGTCACCAAGTAAAATAGCTTGATACAATGCCATTCTTCACAATCCCAGAGAAACTTAATGTACTATGGCGTCTTTCTTAATCTCAACGTCCAGTCGATTTCTCCTCGAGGAAAGAATAGATTACCTTAATTGCTCTACATATTTTACCCAGTGGGAAATGATTTAATAATCAGGGGGATTTTTTCTTTGAAAACCAGTGTTTACTAATTCAGTGTCGTGTTTATCTGTGTCTCATTTCTTTCTTTATTTTTGTGGTTTAGTTTTCAGTTCTAAAAAGGAGGGAGCGTCCATAAAAAATCCATTACTTGGGTTGAAACAGCCATGGGGACTCAGGTGCAGGTTGTATAAACAGTTCAATATCTGGAGTATGGCTGATCTCTGTACACTCCCTTGGCTGTTCGTGCTGACGTTGCCTTGCCGTGGTTGTTTGCCCACTCTTCCTGACCTGATTAAGAAGAACAGAGAAGAAACAGATGGAGAATGATCACAGGGACATGAAACTTAAATCATTCATTCATAACAAAACCCCGTTAAGTCTTTCAAGTGCTCCGCAAATGTGCGATGAAAATGATGCAGCAGGAAGTTTGTGAGCACTTTTGAGTGTCTGGTATTGACGTGGTTCATACAAAAGAGCGGTTGCAGTCCTTGAATGCAAACAGCGACTCACACCGAGACTTTCACCTGGAAAACATGCATCTCAGATAATTGAATGAGAGGATCAAATAGCTACTTGAAAAGGACCCATTTAGTGGCTCCCAGCTAAAAGGTCACAATTACCATTAGCCCAAATCAGCTCCTGTTCACCCCCCTGGTACTGTCAATGTGAAAGTGCCAGTATCGATGGCACCCTTTGTCTGATCTTCAACCAGCGCTGAGACTTCCCTTGAGCTGCGGTTCACAAAGGGTCGCTTTTTTTATGTGTACAGGCTCTCTCTGTTGGCAGCACACAGCCAATACCCCTTAATTAAACCTGTCACCCTTTCACTGACAGTCACTTTGAAGAAACACACCAAGGTAACCTTGTGTTTCTAGAACAAGGATGCGCATCAGCGCTGTTTATCTGTTTTGTTTGAACTGTCTCCTTCTTTCTGTGTGACCCCCGCTTCTGCAGTATTTATTTTATGTGCAGGTACGTGCCACTCTAATGAGTTGAAGGCTCTTAGTTCCTTTCGTTTGAGCCGTCGCATAAGTTGGGGGAAGTTTTTTTTATTAGCTCACTTTCAAAAAACACATTTGAATCTCTAAAAGCATGAAAAGAGCACACATACAGTAGGTTCAGTGATGCAGAGGACAGCCACTTTAAATAAGAACTACTGTTTGCATTTTAAAGGGCAATCCTCCCACACAACAGTCGTCTTCATTCTACTTAACGACAAGAATGATATACAACATATATCTTTACAAGACAGAAATGATGCATTATAGAAATTAAAGGAAATAACAAATTGTTATCTGTTTGCACTCTGTTCATATAATGCATAGCACATGTAGGAAATCTTGTCTGAGAGCTGAATTAAGTCTTTAACCTCCCTGTGCAAAGTGCTTTGACATAATGTATGTTGGGATTTGGTGAAATAGTAATAACATTGAATTGAATTGGAATTTATCAACAGAACCAGAGCTTTATTACCTAATATAATGTCTTCATCGTGATCAGATGCCATATCTTTTTAGTCCTAGGTTAACAATATGCTAATAAAAATCATATTTGACAAATCTTTCTCCAACTGGGAGACAATCGAGTTGGAGGATTTGATGTCCTCCAGCATGAGTCATTGCAGCAGTCAAAGGATAACTCGGTTTGACCAATTTTGTTTGTGTTGTGCTACTTAAAGTTTCTTAACTTCTTTCTGAAGGGCCCAAGAGCTGATAGCATGCAATTGTCTCTGTCCAGCAAGTGTGTCTTCCCGGCTCAATATGTACTTCTTGCCTTGACATTGAGCACCAGTTCCAATACATCAAAGCACAACCTTGGTTATCATCAAAGAAGCAGCCTTATTAGTCATTTGGTACAAAAGCTCTAAATACAATATTAGCTTTAGATCAGCCTTCAGCTGCACAGCAGCACGGTCTACTGTACATTAGCTGCACTGTCATCTGAGTGCTGCGGCAGAAATGACCTTGGCCCACATTTTACTGTATGTGACAGTAAGCTGACACAGTATTGTTGAACATTATCTCTGTGCTGTTAACTTTGTCTGAACTTTGTGGCAACTGGAGCTTTTCACACCCACTTCAGACATAATGACGGGGCTTTCACTAGAAACCAGTAATTATTTAGTTACAAGTTACATGGTGGCTGAGGGAAGGAGGACCTGCATTCTTGAATTCCCTCTTACTTCTTTTGCTTGTATCTGTATGTGTGTACTGTGTAAAATGTAGGATTTTTTAAAATCAGATTTCATTATATACATTAAATGTCCACATATAACTTACTATGTGGAAATATGCAGGGAAATGAATAAACATCAAGTACATATGTTCATACCACGAGAGCTGCTCTTAAATCTTCAGGATCAGTATCATGGAGTAAAAGCTTTAATTTGTGAATAAATCACTTATGCTTAATATGGACGTATTATGAATGCATGTCAGACATCATATAATTACCCAGGTGCTATGGCAACTGAGATGTTGAAGAAGATATAGATATAACTCACCATACGATTCATATGATTCCCCACTGTGTCCATATTCATAGTAGTCATCTGAGCTGTAAACAGACAGAACAGAAAGGTGAATAAAATTCTTCATGAGATGGGAGAAAATAATTCACTCTGCATCAAATAAATTGCACTTATCAGGAAATGGAAAGGAAAGGCGGAGTGTAACTTATTTTCTGTATTGTTTTTCAGTCATATTTATTATCATTGCAATCATACAATAATTGATTCAGTGGTAATAAGGAAATACACACTGGAAGTTTTTTTCTCAGACATACACTGCTGAATATAAAAGTAAAAAACAAGATGCAGCTTTCAATCACTCAAAAGTTTGGCCACATTTGTGGTTCAACAAGGCAATTTCCTCCACCGTATATATCTGCACCAACTTCCAGTTCCATATCACTGCATATGGAGATCAATGAGCGGTGGCAACTTTAATGAAAAATAAAAAGATGGGGAGGCGAGTTGCACAGCAGTTCATTCCTCCCTTATTTATTTATTTATTTATTTTTGCAGTCAGCGGTGAGATGCTGACAGAACAATCCTGCGTCAGTATCATTCAGTAACAGCGCTATCATTCAAGAGAGGCAATTCATCATAAGGCTGCCACTGAGCCGACACCAGCCATCACAGCTGGGTCCTCTCCGCCTGCCTGTCAGTCTGTCAGCGACAGCAGCACCTTTCTGCTCTCCGGATTAGAGAGCTGAAGGCGCCATCCAAAGCACCAACACATCACATCAACACCGCCCGACTGCTGAGGGCAAAGAGGTGACAGTAATGACACACCAGTGTGGAAGTAACGAATTACATTTTTCTCTTGTTACTGTAATGGAGTAGCTTTTTGCGGTGTGATCTCAAGAAGCCAAAGTGAGCTCCCCGAGTCATGGTTGAGACACTCTGCTCCTTTATCAGATTACACCAGTTTGCAGCTCTCCAGCAAATCAATTTCTACAAATTCACTCTGCTATTAACTCTGCTTTTCTCTATAGAGAAGAAGTTTGACCAATTACAAAAAAGTTTAGGTGATTTACAACATTTACAGACTGAGAATATATAAAGAGGAAAGATTAATAAAATGTTGCTCTCTACCATCTATTAGTTTTCATAAAGTGCCACTATTTATTTGTATGAGGATACAGAAATCTATTTGACTAAATTATTTTGTAATTATACGACACAATACACATTCCATTTAACCTTTTATATTAATTTAGTCGAAAATCACATTAAATCCTGTCAACGTATTGAGAAAATCTTAATGTTTGGCTAAATGATAAACAACTAAGCTAAACTAATCAGTTGCTTTGCATTAGCATAAACTCGCATCGTGTACTTGTTAACCTCCTGTTAATGGGCAGAGGTAATAACTCCATGGAAGTGAATAGAATTTCATTTGACTGATCAAATAACCTACTTAAAAAAATAATTGTATAACTTTTTTCTATAAGCAGTGTTCTTGTTGCTCCCAGTGGGGCTGCATCCTTTGGCAAGACCGTAGGCCATTCATTGTGAAGGTTCTGACAAATGCGTCCATTCATTCTCAAGCAACAAAGCATCCAAGGGGTGGACCCCTCCTGGGCCAATCTATTCCAGGGATAATTGTCTGGGTTTGACAAAGCTGATAAACTAGCTGTGCTGGCTGACATAAGAGGAGTGGTATTCAATGGAAAAGGCGGGACAAGCTGGTGATGTAACAGGAAATCCTCTGTGGTCCAGCCGGTCTCATTTTGATTTGCCCTCTTGGTCTACTGAATTGGCACAAAAATCTTAACATCTCAACAACACAGACACCAAACCCTGGGCAGCATACTGTAAAATACTCTGTGGCTAGGCATCAGTAAGGGTTGTAATTTGATGCATACTTTGGCAGCCTCTCTTGCACTGATAATGCCTCTCAACAGCAAGAGCATGACAAACTGATTGGCTTTATTGTTTCCTGCAACATTTTCTTGGTAAGGATGAACAAGACAACATGACCAATTGAGGACAGTGGGAGGCGTCATTTTAAGAGCGCTATAGCGGCTCAATGAGACATGAGACAGCTCCCTAAAGAGGCTTGCGCCTTAAGTCAGGCTTAGCATAAATTTTACACAGTCCATAATTCAGCAACAAACAATGCCAAGCCAGCGGGAGCAAACAAGGCTTTTCCCCTGCGCTAATGCAGTCTCTCTCTCCAAGAAGTTAGGCCAGCTGCTATTGCTGTGAGCACAAGGTTTCCAGTCAGCCCCTGTGGCTGAGTTGCCACCCTGCATCTGCCACGGATGTGAAGTCACTGGAATATCCCTGACACCCATCAATGGCCGACAGAGACATAGAGTGGGAGGAGAGAGTGAGACAGAGATACATGTGACAAGTGAAAGCATGTTTTGGCTCGTCATGTTGTGTAGCCCGAGACAAGAGCTGACAGGATACTAAATAATTCGATTTCACACCATGCTAAAATGCAGGGGTGTATTCCACAGAGGTCGCCTTTGAAATAAACATCAATTTTTATGAATGTCAGAAAATCAATTTGCCACGATTCACAGGTGCTTGCAGACATATTGTGGAATATGTGAAATGCTGGATTATTTTAGGATTCTTGCACAGCTCTGTGTCACATTCAACAATGAAAAACATCCAGATAATACAAACCAGGATACAGCTCTGCTAAAACCATCTCAGAGGCTTGCTTACATGCTGTTGGCTGTCAGCATTTTTCCCCCTAATTTATTTCCATTATGTTCGTTTCACACATAAACAGGAAACTGGGAGCCACGATTCTTCTAAAAAAATAAACCTTTATTCACTTATCCCTTCATGCTTCTCTGTAGAAAGAACCGATAATAGCAGATTTCCTTGCTGAAAGCTGCCAGTGCAGACCTGCTCTTTACACAAAGGAGAAGAGGGCAACAAAAGCTGTTAGGCGCCTCTAATTTCCGAGGTGACATTTTATCAATAATGCTGCACAACTTCTCTGCATAGTTACTTTCCCATCTCAGTTACAGAGGCCAGTGATTCTTGAGATGCAACCTGAAGGTCAAAGAGGTTTGCTGGTGCACCCGACAGCACCTCTAACGTCGAACAGGTCTCTGTGAGGTACACATGGAGTTTAGGCATTCTAATGCAATATACTTTTTTTTTAATAAGTATACCATTGTAAAGTGATTATACAGTTTAGCAAATTTCATGATTAAACATGAAGTTAACTCATTTTTAACAAAGTATAACAGGATAAATGGCAACATTTCAAAATCAGCAAATGGTAACAACAAGAATACAAAGCACAGTGCTATACAATGAAAATAGGATTCAGGTGCATTTACTGTATCTTCGTATAAAACTGTATCTAGGGTTTTTGTCAGCTAATTCGTAAGTCAATTTGTTGTTAGTCGTAGCTTTCATCGGTCAGATAGTTCCAGAAAGGACATCGTCTCTGTGCTGAAACCTTTGCTCACTCTCACCATGCTTCTCTCTGTAAATGTAAAGGCATCTCTGTCTGCTTTGCTGCCCCTGCTAATAAATATGAAGAGACACCACTTGTTGCGGGATGAGGCTGATAGCATGCCAGTGACAACACTGAAAAGAAAACTAAGTAAGAAATTGACTACAGATGGCAGCTCACAGGGAGTTTCGAGACCAGCCTACACATCCTAGTCGTTGTGCTGAGCCCACGTTTTACGCTTTCTGGATGCACAGAAATGGGACAAGGACCACTTGAAGGTGTGAGATCTTGCTGAGAGTTTATCTGCAGCAGAAGCTGCTCAGAGAGAGAGAGAAGACTGTGACAGCAGTGCAGAGGAGAGTGAGGCCACACAACAGAAAAAAAAAGGAGAAGCAGCAGGCGATATCCATGGTGATTGCTACTGATGAGCCGACAGAGGGAGATAATGATGAAATCAGAACATACTGAGAGGACCAAGGTTGGATCCACTGAGGGCCACTATCCTAAACTTGCATGAACAGCTAAGTGAGTGCAATCCATCCTTTCCACATCCACGCCATCAGAGTGCTCCTTCTCCCACAGCAGCTTAACTGTGAGCACAGAGCTTGATTCTGCTCAACAGTGGGGACAAACACATTTCTGTCTCAGAACATGAGAAAACTAAGAGCAGAAAATGGTGAAAGTGACTTCTTAACATATTTTACCTCTACCTCTCCATAGGCCTATGAATTATTTGATATCCATTTCATTTAGATACTTTTAATGTAATGTTACACTTGTAACAAAGGTTGAGCTCATATCTTTCTAAATCATGCATGTTTTTGGTGTTACATGTTCAGATGTTAATACATCTAAAAAGGAATAATTATTGCCATACAATAACAGCATGCTATATTATTATATTATATTTTAAAAGGCTCATTACAGTTCTGTATTTTAGCACGTAGTTATCATTGTTTCTGACACCATTGTAGTTCAGTTTTGGAACTGATGTTCCACAAATGCTTCAAAACTGATGGCTTGACAATTCGTCATTAGATGAGGTGCCCCAGGTGGTTAGTTTTTACTTGGGGATATGTTTCTGTCATATGTTTAAAAGTGCTTTGACTTTCTAGATAGGTCGGCTTTTGATTTGACATTCATTAGCAGAAGGCGTCCGCTGCTTTGTGTCTCCCTCAACTTGCCTGGCCAAGAAGAAGGAGAGAGGGAAAAAAAACACACGCATCTGTCTAAAGTGCCAGGGAGGACCATGTGAGGCAAACACAACACCTATTAGATAAGTGTGTCTCTTTCATCAGGCATCAGACGCCAGGCCTAGTTTTCCACAGGTAAAGACCCAGCCCCTCTAACACATCTGTCATCTCTGTAAATGCTTTGTCTTAAACCCTGATGTTGCTGTTCCTGGGCATCACGGAACAGATGGCGGTGTTAAATCTGAATGATGTAGTACATGTCCCTAGCGGTCTTTGTTTTCTTACATCGCCATCACTCTTCCAGTCCTCTGTGATAAATTTGAAGAAATCGTGTAGGACATTACGAAAGGGCTGCAGAGTTAATACAGCGCTGGTCTGAATGCTGCTTTTTCCTCCTGTTCGCTCATTTCGTGGGTATTGCACACTTAAA